GGCGATAAAACAGCACTAATTGGATGTAATTGCGCGCGCGAGGATCGCGAACAGAGGATTCGTGTCGCGCAGGACGATTAATCTTTATTGCTCAATGGTTTCTCGACGATAAATAATTAACGCACGTTTACACGAGCCCACAACAACCGTGCACACATACACACACACACACACACGCACACGAGGACGTGAATTAAGTACTAACAATACAGACAATTAAAACCGTTTAAACCCATCGTCGTAGAACGTCCTAGTTATGTGCTTTAACGGTATCCATTACCCGGTACGACTTGTGGCTGCAGGCCCTTCGCGTCCGATTTTCTCCCAAGGCCGTTTGAATATATATACTTGTATGTTTGTGAGTGCGTGTGTGTGTGTGATTGCGAGTACGTGTGCATATGGTGTACGGATATCCTTCATCGAAGGAAATATATATATATGAATTCTTAGCGTGACTGTAATATACCTATTATCCTGTACGTATATACAGTTTATACTCTTTTAGATATTTTTATGTAATACATATGAAAGACGAAAAATAATTATTTACATAATTTACCATAAAATATCGTTAGTATCCATTTTTAGTTATGTGAATAGATTTTTTCGTAAATTGCCGGAAATGTACGATAAAAAATTATACAAATGGTTGTTGTTGTATTTATATCATATATTAACTATTATTAACTATTTGTTTTCACACGGTAATGACATTTTGAAGTACAAAGTTTGTCTGAAGAACGACAAGCACATTTATTATTTTTACATTTAGTTTTGCAGTGACATCGTTGGTACCCTCGAGTTCCCGGAGTACTGCTCAAACCAACTGCCCCTCGAAGAGTAAGCTCTTTTTCTTTGATGGGTTTAGGTATGTCAAGAAGTAACGATTATCAGATATCTTGCGCAAAAACATATTTATAGTTATTAGAATATTACTTAATGTAAAACTGTGCAGCAGAAAAACATAAAAGTAGCGTTATAGTCGAATTTTAGTACAATAAACATTTACCAAATCGTTTGGTGAATATCGAAAATCTCCATTTTATGTAAATGTTTACGATAATTACCGGTTAATTACGTTAATTTTCATGTTTTACATCATTTACCGTAACATATATATATACGGACTTACCTAAACTATAAATATTGTTTTTGAAGCACGTGGTCAAATCTGAGAGTGTAGTTGGGCCACTTTGGAATAAAACGTTTCGAGTGATCATATGCGTTCAACCATCGATCGGCCAAGAACGTCTTGTCGGACTATACTCAGGAAACACGGTGCGTCATATGTTTTTTAAGAAAACTGTCCGATATCGAGTTTGAGTGTGCACGCGGGTGGATATTTATTCAATCACTGCAGTCGGTTAAACGTTGGAAATATCTAAGTACCTGCAGAATATCGTGGTACATATCGTATTAATGTAACGAGCGAGAACCAGCAGATTTACACCTTTGCGTAGGGCACACAGGGATGTTGGGTGTGTGTACGGATTAATGTTATGGTCTTAGGTCTAGTGTCGGGGAAAGAGGGTTGACGGATGGGCTTCCACGTTTTCGCGATGACTTTCGGCTCGCGTTCCGCCGTAGTCCGTGCGGGGTTCGGGGCGCGCGCGCACACGTGTCATTTGCGCACACTTCAACTCAACCGTAATTTTTCAATCGTTCATCGAAAAACCATTGGTCGAAAAAAAATTTAAAACAAACGGTTTTAAACACAGTTCGAGATTGCTGTTCATTGACGTATGCGGAACGCATGAGATTATCCTGCGGGACACACTTCGGATGTTCACGTTGTTGAAAACATTTTTTAGTCCGTTCTGTTGATTTTATCGATTTCGATTATACGTGCACGGACGTTTTTTTTTTTTATTTTTTTATCGTCGTCCAGAGAAAACTCTTCGAAATGTTCACTGGCCGGCGAGCGCGTTGCACGGCGGAACGTTGAACGAGACGGACGCGGAGACCGTCGCGGCGCTGAAGGAAACTCCGTGCGCGCCAAGTGCCTCCGACTCGTCCGGACAATAACAACGTTGTGATAGTTGCGCACCGGACGAGTGCTCCGCAAATATCGGCAGTGAATCTTCGTGTTCGCCTGTAACCAAACACACGTCCGCGTCCACACTTGCGCCCACTCGTCGCGGGTTTCACCGACGGTCCTCGCCGCTAGTGCGTGATTTGCGCTTCCGAGGGCACGACGCAGACACGCGTACATCGACTCGTGTAGAAGAAAAATACACGTAAACGCGCACGTGCGTACCTATGTTGACGTATACTGTTATGCGTATGAAAAAAAAACAAACAATTCTGTGCAGGCGCAGGTCATAGAAGTGAAACTTCTTCGACAACAGTCGTGATAAAATCAAACTATTAATGTACAATGTACGGTTACTGTCGTAGAGGTATCAGTTCTTGTATTAGTCTTTGCAGAGAGTTGTTTAGTGATCGAAATGAGAAGATCTGTAAAGGGAGGGAAACAGGGCCGGATTTAGGCTTTCGGATGCCCCGGGCGAATCGATTTTTCGAGGCCCCTAGCGGTAAGAAATTAACATTATCCGTGCAGTAAAGGAAAAATTAAAAATTTGCATACTTTCCCGTTAAAATTATCCGCCCATACTTTTTTATTTCAAGTTTAAAATACCACTGTTCGTGCTTCACAGATCACAAATTTCTGTATGTAGAATAATATCACAATTTAATAGTAATGTAACATACAGTAAATACTAAATAGTTATTAATGGTAAGTAATACAAAAATTAATTAATTTTTATAAATATGGTAATTTTAGAAGTGATAAGTCTGACTTAAAAAAATTAGGTATACATTTGGTTTTTTTTAATGTCACGCGCATGCGTGTGTATAGGTATAAAATAAAGGTACGTAACGTAGGCCGCGCGCCGACGACAGCCTACGTTACTACCGGTGTCTGCGTTTGCCATCTCCTAGAAAATGACGCGCACGCGCGTGTATTAGTATAAAACGTGACGAATTTTCGTTGCATTACTGTGTGTCGCGACCTTGAAAATTTACTCCCTGCGCGCGTATAGAAGTTTCACTTCAAAAAAATTCAAAAAAATACTGCTAAACCGCCGTACGTGCGTGCGCGGTAACAACAATTGCAGCGTATACTGTATACTGGATGAAACGTTCAGTTCGTGCGCGGAACGTGATCGTGTCTCCGAAAGGCCAACGACGAACGTACCTCGCGGTACCGTAGATCGCCTGACGATGAAAAAACACAACGTTCGGGTGCAGGGTTGTCCCATCGCGCGCAGAACAAGACGGTCGAATCGCTGACGCTCAAAAATGTGTCCCGAGTTTCCATAGCGATCCGTAGATCGACGACGGTATGATCGCGTCCGTAGATCGCGTACAAATAAAATGATTATTTATTTACGATTTTCCTTTTGGCGATTAAACCGTACCTCGACAAAACCATTAGGTGTAAATTAATTTTAAACAGTGGCGTAACTGAGAATGTTTGATGGGGGGGGATCAAAATAAATTTGCAGGGTAAACTTGTGGGGGGCCTTTGCCCCCACGGCCCACACACCCCTTATCTATATTTTGTATAATTTAATAACTCAACACATGTAAATATAATCATTCTATATTACATAACATTATACATTTACAAATATGTTTTAAAATGTTTTAATATTTTACAATATTGTAGTGAGCCCAAGGCTAGGCGTATTTTATAATCAGCATTTAATCAATCAATATTTAATAATCAAAAATAACTTATTACGCATATTAATAAATTCGCCAAGGTTCAGCTAAATTTAATAATCAAAATAATATTTTGATTATTTGGTAGATTAAAATAGTATATGTATAAAATAGATAATATATTAAATTCGCATATACGCAGGAAAACCAGGGTAAAGGTGTAAACAACAGTAGTTTCACGTCTTTACATAATAATGCTAAATAGAGGGCAAAATAAAGTAATATTAGAATTAGGCCACTTTTACGTCATTGGAACCTGTATAAATACGGGTTGAGCATTTAGCATTATTCAGATGTAGATAGGTAGTGAGACTGATCATTTCCTCTGTTAAATAAATTATTGCTCGTCGTGGACATTGTAACAGCCACATCGCCGCGAGTAATAATTCTCTACCCAGTTTTAACTGTTATTAATATTTTATGTTATAATAAACCAGTAATTTTTCTAAGTATTTAATTAAGAATGTTCAATTATTAATATTACCTATCTCTCTCAACACGTCTCAAGATTACGTTCAACGTGCTACGTCGTTAAATAATTAATGTGTTACCGATCGTAGTGTCCTGCACAACACTCGCTACAATATTATGTCCAGACTCCTAGGATTTTTGGCAAGTTCATTAATGACCTCTTCATTTGAAAAATGTAACATCATTATGAATTACCAACATTGCCAAACCTTTAAGTCTTTTCTACAAAAAAATTAAAACATTTTTCTCATAAGATATTATGAAAATGTATTTTATTAAGTACAAGTGCACAGCTATTATAATTACTAACCTCGGACATACTGTTTCGAAGATACGTTTTTATCCTTTTAAGACTTTTGCATATTATCATTTGGGGAAATATTTTTTATTAATAATTTTATTAAATTATTTTTAATTAAAATTAAATAATTTTCAATGTTTCATTTTGCATAGTATTTTGAGCTTTTCCAATAGCGATAAAAGTTTCTGGATCTAATTTTGAAATAATTTCTTGTATTTTCGTAAGAAGAAGACGTATGAATGATGAAATGATAAAAATATGTTTAAAAATATTTAAAAATTAGTGAAATATGTAAAAATATGTAATTATACCAAAATATGTAAAATAAAAGTATCATAATTTTGATAGGAATGATTTAAATCATAAACATTTCTTATCGATTCTTAAATATCTCGTTTTAATATAATAAAAATATGCATTTACATATAAATCAGTTCTCTAATAATAAACATACAATTATTAATTTATTAAAAATATAATATCATTTTAATTTACCGTTGAGTATTGATTCAGCTAAATCACAACCAGTTAAACTGTTAAAAGTAATAAATTTCAGGAATCTCTCATGGATACAGTCGTTATCGTCAACATATTGAACACACATAGCCATTTGTTCAATAGTAGAAATATCAGTAGTCTTGTCAACTAAAACTGAGAAACATTTTGAAGCATTTACATTCTTAACTATTTTTTACAGCATAATGTCCCCCCATGCCGTTATGATTTCATTTTGAATTTGAGGAGTTAGGTATTTGTTTCGTCCTTTACTTTTAATGATATGCTTTAACATCTCATCACCATATGCTCTATACTTTAATATGGCTCTAAAGTTGCCTTGATTTAATGAACATTCCACTATAATATGAAAAATTTATATTAAGGTTGAGTTGAATGGTAGCATTATTATATAATATGTAATGCTATAAAATCATTTAATTTTAAACATACTATCAATTTTTCCATAATCTTTATGTCCTCGTAGAGCAATCTCTTGACGACCACAAAGTAAGACACAATCAACGATTGGAATGAGTCGCTCTCTATTCGCCTTGATTTGTTTAATTCTTTAACGAAAAAAAAATATCAAAGTAAGTACATACTTGCAGACTTAAGCTAATAAATGATTAAATACCTATCTGTATCCAATCGTTCTACTATAGTTGGCTCTTTTTTTTAATATATTTTTAAAAATTCATGAGATTTCAAAACAGAAAATGTATCGTACTCTAATGCAGAATGATTTCGAAATACCTATCATTTAATTAAAATTATAACAATATAATAACATGTATTCACAGGGAAATAAAATTAAAATTAAAATAATATTAAATTATAAGCGATTAAAAATTAAAACATTAATATATTCAATAATACCTCTTTAGCTTTTTTCCAACTATCAAATACTTCACTAACCAAATATTGTAAAGATTGATTTCCTATTCCACCGGTTTTTGCAAAAACAACACAATGCTTACAAAAAGCTCCATCTTCAACTTCCAAATAAACAAGCCAATTGAATTCGTTCAGCCATTTATACTGAAATTTTAAACCTCTTTTTTTGTTTTTTTTTATTTAATGGAAATACGTAATTATGATTTGGTAACCATAAATAGGTAAGTACCTACAGGTTTTAAACAAAAAATAATAAAAACAATTACATTGTAGTTTATATTATATTATGATATATTGGTAGGTTTTAACTATAGTTCTGACTAAATCCGACATAAGGCATTAGCATTCGAAAAGCTTACAGTATTTTTTTCTTCGTCTGATAATAAATCACGTTTAATAAACAAAGCAATGTCATTTTTAGGAGCATCAAAATGTTCCCTCTAAAAAATTACGAAGCACAATTTAATTTATTAATTTTAATGCAATGTTAGCAGGCGGGAGTCAAGCTAAAGGTATAATACCATATAACGATAGAACAATAGGTAGTGTACCTTATTTGTTTCTTGGACAGCTTGAATCAAATTTTTATTTCAACATGATATTTTTCACGTGATACATCATCAGATTTCTCTATGTTTTCCTTAAATAATAAACAAGAAAATGTATAGGTAAAATCGAATTAAATTGTTTTTAAATATTAGGTAGGTATTACTAATTATTATTATATTATCATACATTTTTAAATTCTATTTTTTTTTTTTTAATAAACTCATTTAAATGTTTTATAATAATTAATATGACATAACTAATAGTTATTGAATAAACTGCGGGGACTGCAATTATATTTTTAATCGGTACTTTTTTTAACTGGTGTTAATTTAATTTTGCATATTTTTAGCGCGAGTTGTAATGCTAATTATAATAAGTTGAATACGTCATACATAATATTTAAACATTTAATTCAGGGTCTAATAATGTTTAGTATTTTAAATTGTAATACTTACGTCAGGCCCAGGCTTCTTTTTAAAAAAAATTCAATAACTGCTAGTTGCTGATAATTTTCTTTTTTTTTTTTGCTCCATTTTGCTTTTAGCTTATAAAAATGTAACTGACACTGTGAATATGAGAGAATGACACGGTGTGTATACCTACTGTGTAGTGTTTACTGTTTATATGTAATCGCAATAATCAATGTAAGATACTTTGTGTCGGAGCGCGTTCTTAGTACCTACTATCTATGGCTATTTTTCGTTCTACGAAATGTAAATCTTGAAGTTACATTTTTATTATTATATTATGTTTATGCAATGGTGGTTTTTCCATTATCGGATTACTTAACTTACCATTTACAATCTATTCATAATTAGGTACAGTGTGTGGCAAGGCACCCAACGTTTATTAATAAATAAGAATTAAAATGAATCAGACCATTTATTTTGAAATCATGCTTATCGTTAACGGGTAAATATTTATATACGGGTAATATTTAAGTATACACAACTTCTAAATTTTTTTTTTTTTTAGTTTCATAATAATTTATAAGTTTTTATTTGAACTATTTGTAGGTATAAGACAACATATAAATACAGCTCATGGGGGGGATATATCACTCATATCCCCCCCACGTAATTATGCTCCTGATTTTAAAAGCATCTTTTCGGAAAATAACGTTATCCACGATATAGCGTTCTTATTTCAAACGTTTTAAATACTTCTATTATTAACATATAAATAACGTTGTAGGTATCTATTTTTTTTTTTGATAAAAAAATAAAAGCGCTGCGTCAAAGATAAAGCTTACACCTTTCAAAACAAAAAAATCTACTACGAATCAACGCTGAACAGTTTTGTCTCACCTATTTTCAAGTTTAAATCACTCGCGTAACTTGCGACCCAAACGTGTTTGTGTTTCGGTTGTACCAATATATAACGATTAGACGTTTAAGACTTATATTCCCAGTACGGCTACTGCAAAACCTTTATTCGTTCGGTCAGATATCTCCAGACGAACGTGACCGAGTTTTTTCTCGGATATCGCGTAAAAACGCGTAATTGCGCATACTCCTTAGGTACCACCTAGTTGGATCGCAAACTGTAACGGAGTCCTCGCGATACAAACTTACAGGAGTGCGCGGCTGCAGAAAAAATGTTGACGTCACGAGAAAATCTTCACGTCAAAGGGACGCGGGTACCGCAGGGTTCGTCTACGTGCCGAAGTCGACGTCGAACAAATTAGCGTATGACATCGAGTCGATGTTTTCGCTCGGCCTCGACCGACCGTTGGAACAGTGTACACACGTTTCCACATCATCGAAACACATTTGGACGGGACTCGTCGGGACGGGAGGTAGAGGCAATCGAGCGCGTACGTGAGTGTATCTTCGGGAAGGATTTATTTTCGGGGTGGGACGGGGAAACGGTAGTAAATTCGTTTTTTATGGTCAAAGTCGGTGTCCACAGCTGTGTATAACGGCACACACGTCGACACCGGTTGCTTACTATCTCTTTTTACGCGAACAATATTTCTTCTCCTCTTCATTTCTCCCCCACCCACCTGTCGGACGTACAATATTCGTGCACGCGCTCCCCGTCGTCGCCCTCGATAATATCTCCTCTCCGCATCGCGCCATCTCTCTCACTATATCTCTCTCTCTCTCACCCTCTCACTTCTCTTATTTTTAATCAGAGATTTTATCATTCCGCCGTGGAAGCGGTTTAATTAACCGATATTTATGTGTAGATGGCCGACGGATAACGCGCGGTGCCCATTACTCGCGGTGCAAACGACACTATCCGCCCGTCGACCGGCCGAGACGTGCTTGCGCGCGTATGGAACACGACGAATTTATTACACGAAACCTGTGCCGCCGATTTTATTCTCCCCCCCCCCCATCCGTGCCGCCCGCGTGTAACCGTGCGAGACTGTGCGCGTGCACTCCGCCGGCTAATGACTCGTAAGAGATTGTGCGGCGAAACCGATGACGTGTATCTTGTCTCCGTGTACACGCGGATGGGTTCCACGTGCGTGTGCGTGTGTGCGTGCATGTGTACACGTTTCTAGACAGTGGCATACCTATGGGGGGGGGGGGGCAAGGGGCATCCCCCCCCCCCGATAAGTTTTTTGATACCATAATAGAAAGCTTAAATAATGTAAATTATAAATATTTTTAATTTTCATTGATTATAATCGTGTTTGATATCAAAAGTTTCACTCATCGATGTAATATAAAATATCAATATTCGATCGAATCGGGATTAGCAGTGATAGTCACATATTGTCACTATTTTATAATGTGGTTATCGTTGACATGAAGTGATCAACATGAGTTTTAATTATTTAGTAATAATTTACAATAAAGTTTCAGATTATACCTATTATAACCATAAAAAATTGTACAATTAATTTATGCCCCCCCCCCCCCCAAAAATGTTTCAAAGGTACGCCACTGCTTCTAGACGTACGGCGCCTGTGATCGATAAGCTCGCGACGGTGGCCGGAGATCGCGTAAACGTTATTCGAACCCGTGCAAGTACTCTCTGCTCGTTTTAACGACACGTGCATACCCGTCGCAGGACCGATGAGGATAATAATGATCATTCGCACGTCGTACGCGGTGCGTTGCGGTACGACTAGGTTTAAGTTGCGATTCCTGAAGCTACGGTTTCTAAGATATGACAAGTGAACGCGATTTTGTGAGCGGGCGACGCGATAAAATTCAAAATAGATTTAATTTATGGAATGTCCTATTTAGATGGTAAACAAGTGGGCGGACGGACGACTTGTACTATTTTCGAATACTACAGTTCAGTTGTTTGTGTATTTTAATTTATAAAACTGAACATTTATTGAAAACCATAGATTCAAAAGTAGAACACAAGTAGAAGTCAATATTAAAACTTACCTAAACAAATTGGGTTTGTACTTTTTCTTTTTAGTTTCATTTTATTTGACATTGTTTGTTTCTTCGTAGCATAGTATTTAATGGAGGTATTTTCATAAAGTATTGCATTATTTGGATCCATTTTTAAGAATTTACTACATTCACAACAAACAACCATCAACTTGGATCATCAACTTAAAAATAATTGAAAAATATTTAAGTCTACAAATCGTCTGCCCGCAACCAGGACACTCACTCGCGCGCGTTGAATATCGCGTCGCCCGCCCGCTCGCAAAATCGCGTTCATCTAAGACGCACCGTAAAAGGACGCGTCCGTATACGGCGCGACCGAATAGGTTAGGTTAGGTATTCTGGGCTGCACTAGTTGCGTCCCAAAGATATCAACGAAAAAAGGTCTAATCCGAATCGCTGCCCGAATTTATTTTGGGTACAGACGAGTTGCGGCCCGGGTTTTCTAACCCTAGACGATTTAATCTTGACTGATAAAATATTTTGCGGGGCTTTTCATTCGAAATTCAACGGTTTGTTCTACAGGGCTAACATTTTTGTAATCATCGATGGTCTGAAAAGTGTACAGAATGATACCTATATAAAATTAAGAAGCACTCACTTAAATACTCGCAGAACAAATATAATTGAAAAATGTATTTATTAGAAATGCTATGAAACGGTTAGAAGAAAACTAAATTGACAAATTTGAATTTATACATCATACAAGTTTTACCAGTGCCATAATACCTAAGAATTTTACTAAATTATAATAAAATTTTTAACTTCAATAAATATCATATACGTTTTTAACAGTGCTGAAATTTTTTTATAAAAACAAATCATTTTAATATCAGATTTTAATGTCAAAAAAACTTTTTAACCTTGAAAAATATCATATATATTTTTATCAGTACCAAAATGTGTAAATAAAAATAAAACATCATTTTTAACCTACCTGCAGTAACTAATAAATGTGATGGAAAATGAAGCTTTTTAAATTTAAATTTACATATTTAAATTTCGGGCCGCAATTCGGAAAAAGTTTTTACTGCGGGACGCAACTAGTAGCCCCACCCGTATTCCGTACAACCACGAAACGTAGCCGCAAGAGACGCGCGCGGCAGGTCCATAATGTACATAATGTTATCATAGTGCCCTGTAATTTGACGTTTTCTTATCTTATCTGAAACCTAACGGGACAAGTGGTAATCTGTTATTGAGTAGGTTTTCGTGAATCATACATCAGTCGTGTTCGTCGTGCTTATCCGCGAATGTGCATGGTTTTCATTCCGTTCTATTTATACTTTAAACGC